GGGGGGGGGGGGGGGGGGGGGGGGGGGGGGGGGGGGGGGGGGGGGGGGGGGGGGGGGGGGGGGGGGGGGGGGGTACTCCTAGTCGTGCATACCGTAGTTCGACCGTTGACCTCTCATCCCTACAAAGCCGGGACGGAGCAAGCCGGGTTCTCACCGGACCGGGCTCTCACATCACCAAGCGCGAAGCGCCGTGAGATATTCGGCGAGTCGCATGAAGGGTGCGCTGCATCCTGCATCTTGTGCTCACTTCCTTGCGTACGGATGACAGCTGCGTATGACTTGATTTATTTTCTGGTGCTTTCACTTTCTGAGACAGTTGTAAGCACTGTGTAACTGCCTCGAGGGTGCTTGACCATTTTAACACGACGTACTTGGTGCGATTTCCCCTTTGCGCGGAGTGATGGTCATCGACCCCGAGCAACATAATCTGCTCGACCACCATTATGGTTACCGCAAACAAAAAAAGGCAACAAGTAGCGGGAACCTCGTTGCCGAGCTCACGAAGTGATCGGCTTGTTTTACAACGTCGTTGCCACGCGACGAAATCCCAACCCCGATGGCGGTTGGAGGGGGGGGGGGGGGGNGGGGGGGGGGGGGGGGGGGGGGGGGGGGGGGGGGGGGGGGCGGAATTATGCACCGAACGAGAACTAGTTAGAGAATGAGCCGTCACGATGGCGGCACGGTGCTTGTTCCCCCGTTTTGCATGTTCACGCGGCAAACTGTCTTGCGATATTTTCTCTCTGGAATGCCCGATGGTGCCTGTGTTCTTCGCAGATCGGGGTCGCCATCGGCATGCCCCAGCCTGGACCGAGCACTGCGAATGAGTTGCATCAGTTCATCTTCAAGAACCCCAACACCGATTCGGGGCAGCCTTTCCAGAAAGTGAGGCGTGATGCTGGTGTGTTCCTTGTTGTTGACGTTGATCGGCGTGGGCTTGCTTTTTTGGTTCTGGCACCAGCTACTAGCGATTGTCAGTGTGGCATTTTTTTCGTCCTTTCTCCTCTCACCGTGTGTGCTACCGCTGCTCTGCTACCGCATGTCCCTCTCTCTGCCGTCCTCGCGGCCCGACCCTTCTTCTATTTAGGTCCTACTGGTGCTGGACAATGTCGACTCACTTTTCGAGCGGGACGAAGACGCCCAGGACCGTCTCGTACATCTCCTGAGCGACCTCTGCTCCATGGGCGGCGGAGGCCACCTGAAGCTTCTCGCGACGAGCGAGTACAAGCTGCTGAGAGGCAACGGGTACTTCCGCGGCGGCTCCGAGATGGTGGCTACCGTCAAGCCTCTGAAGATGCAGCACGCCTCCGAATTGCTGATGGACAACTCCCCGCGGGACTTGCAGCCGGAGGAGCTCGGTCTCCAGAGCGGTGGCTTCTCGAAAGCCGATGTCGTGAGCGCCGTGGAGAATCACCCGGTCCTCAAGGAGGTGTTGAAGATTGCGGGGGGTCACCCGGGGACGCTGGTGAGAGGAGAACTTGATGTTGTTTCGCTGGTGGCCGACCGATCTCGTGAGCGGATGAGAAAGAGGGGTTGAGATGGGGCGCCTGCGAGCGTTTCGTCGGCATCTCTGTTTCGCTTTTTGCGACGAAACCCTCTCGCAGCTTTGCAGATAGATTGGGTGCCCCTGCGCTGCTTTAACAGAATCCGGCGTGTTAACCGATCACGCCCGCCTGTCTTGAGTGCTCGCGCGACCGACCGCTTGTGTTCCTCTGTTGTCCTTCAGGTGCGGCTTGCTCCGGTACTCCTTCACGGGTCTCTGAACGACGCTCGCAAGCTGAAAGAGGTGGCGACTAAGTGAGTCTTTGTTGCATTGAGAGTCATGGTCTGGGCGGTCATTGGTTGGCTGTTGTTGTTGGGAACGCTACTGCATGTGTGAGCAGGAGCAGCAGTTCCGATCAGTGGCCATCTTGAGGGTGTGAGCGGTTCGCGTCCGTGAAACTTCGTTTTCCTCGTACAAAATCCGTACCACAAGAGTTGATGCAATCCATGTCTGTTCTTGCGGCTTCGTCCTCTCGTATCCCACTTGCCACCTGAGACAATGACGCAAACCCCCGTCGCCCGTCGCCCCCCCCATCACGTGCCTCGATCTCCCTTGACGACATCACCGGACGGTTAACCCTCGAACCCCTTGCACCCATTCACGAGAGAAGGTGCCGTGCGAGCTTCAGAGACAAATCGTACCGGCAGAGAGGGCACCGACGCTCCGGCTCCTGCACTTCTGCAGGCAGCAGCAACGTCGCGAGAGAGTTGAGCGAGGCCGGCAGCTCCCTGGGCACAAGCGCCCCCACTAGTAGATCCCCGCACGGTTCCCCTGCTCCGGCAACGCCTTCTCAGCGCCCGGCAATGGGAAACGCATTTAGCGAGGACGCCGGCCACCGGCGAGACCGGAGATGCGTCTCCTTGAATCGCACAAACAGTAGCATCGACGGCAGCGGCGGAGGCGGAGGCGGGGCGGCGGCGGCGTGGGGAACACGCCCCACCCGGCCATCGCCGCCGATGCCAGACGAAGAAGACGGAGGGGAAGGCCGCCCGAGGCCCCACAGCGGTAACGTGGGGAGTCATGGCAGCCTTGAACGGCATGACTGGCTGCAGTCTTGTGTACACCAGTTATCCCTGGAGCGCCAAGACGAAGTCAACGGGATGCACCGCCGCCAGATGCTGGCGCGGGAGGCGCTCGAAGAGCAGCCCGAACTTCCCCAGATGAATACGGAAATGCAGCACGCCTGGGACATGGCGGAGGCGGCCCGGGTCGAGCGAGGCAGTCGCCTCGTGTGGGCCAATGCCACTTCGTACATGGTGGATGACCGGCGACGAAACAAGGGCTGCGGCGGTGGGGGGTGGGGCGTGGGGGGGCGCTTGAAGTTGGGGGAAGCCGTGCCGTTGAAGTACCTCCTGGAGAGCCTACGGTGGCATCTGGATGTACGGATGACTGTCCCTTGCAGCAGCAGCAGCGGCGGCCGCCACGACCCCTTGGAAGGTACCCATTACACCTATCTCGATGATGGGGAGGAGGTTGACTTCGAGGAAGTCGAGGCTGACGACCACGACGCGGAGGATGAGGAGGACCAGGAGCGGGCGGCAGGGGAGGGGAGAAGGACCGGAAACAGGCGCATGAGGCCGATGCGTCACGCCACGCGCGTCTTGGATGAGCGACAGTTGGGCTTCATCCGCAGCATCCTTCGCAAGAATCAGAAGTTGGCCAAGGCCGAGGCAAACACGCAGGATAGCACGGCGTGCGAGTTGGACGGTCTTGAGGACCCTATCTCGGTCGGAACGTTCTCGCGGTTCTCGCAGTGGTGGACTCCACTGATGGTGACGCTGGGGAACATCAGGAACGACTGGGCGAGGATTTGGCCCATCAGGGTGCATGGGTTCATCGGCAGGCACGAGGCGCAGGCGCTGCTCAGGATGAAGCCCACGGCGTTCTTGCTGAGGTTCAGTGAGAGACACCCCGGGAAGCTGGTCGTCAGCCGCGCGTGTCATGTGAGCAGCACCTCCTCTGGCGTCTCTCGTTTGTTCCCTCGTGGTGCTTGGTGTCGCTCACATCATGTGCTGTGCTGGCCGAATTACTCGCTCGGTGATTGCAGATCTCAAAGGTGGCACGTGCTGTTACGCTCTCCACCTCGTATCCTAACAGACCAATGGTTTCCCGTGCCATCGCACTGCTCCTTGTGTGACACAACGAGTGTTTTTCCCATTTCTCCCCCCCCCGGTGTTTGCCATCGGGGTTGGGTTTTCGTCGCTTGGCAACGACGTTGTAAAACAAGCCGCCCCCCTCGGTGTTTGCCATCGGGGTTGGGTTTTCGTCGCTTGGCAAAGACGTTGTAAAACAAGCCAATTCACTTCGTGAACTCGGCAACCAGGTTACCGGTTTTTTTTTTTTGCCTCCGGTTTTTTTTTTGTCGGTAACCATAATGGTGGTCAAGTAGATCATGTTGTGCGGGGTGAGCCCTCACTCCGCGCAAGGGGGATGATCGCACCACGTTGTGTTAAAATGGTCAAGCACCCTCGAGGCAGTTACACAGTGCTTACAACTGTCTCTGGAAGTGAAAGCACCAGAAAGTAAATTAAGTCATGCGCAGCTGTCATCCATACGCAAGCAAGTAACCACAAGATGCCGAAAACCCTAAGCAGGATGCAGCGCACCCTTCATGCGACTCGCCGAAT